GAGACCACCAGCGCCCCCAGCCAGGAGGCCGTGGCCAAGGCCATGCAGACCTGGGGCCGCATGAGCAAGGGGTAGTGTAGGGGCCGGCAGATGGCCACATAGCGGTCGTAGGCCATGGATGCCAGGAGCAAGCACTCCGTTCCGACGAGGATGATGAAGAAGAAGAGCTGGGTCATGCAGGCAGTGAAGGGGATGTGGTAGGGCCCAGCCCACAGCCCCAGCAGCAGTGTGGGCATGGTGACAGACACGTAGCTCATCTCCAGGCAGCTGAGGTTGGCCAGGAAGAAGTACATGGGCTTGCGGAGCTCGCTGTGGGTGCTGACCAGGTAGATGATGAGCGCGTTCTCCAGCAGCGTCAGCAGATATAGGGTGAGGAAGACAAAGAACAGGGAGGCTCTGACGCCTGGCCTGGTGGAGAGGCCCAGGAGGACGAAGTACTGGACCCGTGTCGAGTTAGCCACCTCCATCCGTGGGGAGAAGGAAAAGGAAACAGTAGGTAGAGAAGTGTCTGCCGCTCTCTGGTCCTGGACTATTGGGAAAGGACTGGGGTGTGGCTCACATGGGAGAGTGCCCGCCTAGCAAATTCAAGGTTCTGAGTTCAAATCCCACATTGAAAACCACAAATTTTATTTTGGTGGGAGTGTATTGAGAACACTGGGACCCCATGGCAGGGCAAGGTCTGTGGGAAATCTTGTCACACGGGGATTCCCCTTGGCCACGGTTCCAGAGCCTGCTCCTCTTCTCAATAAATCGGGGATGGTGGGCACACCACTGATTTGAAGGCCAGAGAACAGTGCTCCAAGCGTTCACCGTGGCTCTAAAGGAGAAATGAACACAGAAAATGGTTCTGTGGGTGGGAACAAAACCTGGCCCTTTCTGGTCTCACTTCCTTTGTATCTTCTGTGCACACATTGAGATCTGCAGTTCTATTTCTTGGAATATCAATTCCTACCCACTGCACATGATGCAGGAAACAAGCCACACGAGGTGTGCATGGGGATGTCCTCTTGTATTTCCTCTTCCCTCACTGCAAAAATCCCACCCCACCCTGGCTCTACAAGGAAGATGCAGGTAGTCACACATAAAGGTGACTCCCCAAAACCAAGTGGGTAGGAGCTGAGCCAGTTGGAGCTGCACGAAGCAGGATTCTGAGGCAAGTCTCCCGGAGATGGGCGGGGCGATGGGCAGGCGCTGTGTGGGGTGAGGAGAGGATGCAGTGGCCAATGCGGCTGTCCAAGTCAGTCTCCTCTTTCCCCACTCCTGTTCCCTAAACCTCCAACACCCCTGACGTTGCCGGAGGGAGCTGTAATGGACACAGGGCCGAGGGAACGGCCCGAGAAAGCCAGACTCCACCCAGCTCCACCCTACAGCCTAAACTCGGTCACCTGTGAAAGCACAGAGACAATGTGTGACCCATGCTCCCCGAGTCTCATTCAGTCCCAAAGAGAGAATAACTCAGGTCCTCCTCAGGAGAAGGGCCAGGCCGGAGGACACCTTGTTCAGCGCAGGGAACCAGACTCAGAACATTCCAGACTCCCAGTAGTGGGCGCAGGGGGCACGCCTGCTCTGCAACAAGAAGGGCAGCAGGGATGGGAGGATCGAGGCCTGGGCTGGTCCGGCAGGAAACACCACCCCATCTCAAACACAAAAACGGGATGTGCAACACCTCCCACAAAGGCCTGAAATCCAACACACACAAGGAGCTCAAGACACTGCACCTCCCGAACCCAACATACTAATCACTAAATGGGCAAGGAGCTAAGGAGAGACTTCTCAGAAGAGGGGAGAATGGCACAGAAACACAGGAGGAAATGCTCTCTATCCCTGGCCATGAAGGAAATGCAAATCAAAACAGATTCCATCTCATCGAAGTTCCACTGGCCAATATTCCAAATTAAGACAAGAACAAGCCAGGGACCAGTGGCTCACACCTGTAATCCTAGCTATTTCAGGAGGCTGAGATCTGAAGATCCCAGTTCAAAGCCAGCCTGGGCAAGAAAGTCCCTGAGACTCTTATCTCCAATAAAAAACCAGAAAACCAGAAGTGACACTGTGGTTCAAGTGGTAGAATACTCACCTTGAGCTGCAGAGTGCAGGGACAGTGCCCAGACGCAGAGGTGAAGCCCCATGACTGACAAAATAAACAAAAACAAAGACAAGAACCAATGTTGGTGAAGATGTGGGGAAAGGCACCCTATTGTGCTGCTGGTGGGAATGTGAACTAGTAGAGCCACTCAGGACAGCAGTCTGCAGGTTCCTACAAATACTAAACACAGACCTTCCCTACCACCCAGCCATACCACTCCTGGGCATCTAACCTGAGCATCACAAGCCAGGATATGACAAGGACACCTGCACACCCATGTTCACTGCCGCACCACTCACAATAGCCAAGATATGGAAACAGCCCAGATGCCCCACAGTAGATCAGTGGACCCACAAAATGGTGTGCCTACATACAATGGAATTTTACACAGTCATCAAAAAGAATAAAATAATGTCATTTTCAGGAAATGGATGGAACTAGAACAAATCATGTGAAGGGAGTTAAGCCACGGTTAGAGACTAATGGAGCATGTTCTCTGACATGCAGAAGTTAGATCTGAGAGATGACAAACTACACAGGATTCTCAGTTCTCACACACAGGGAGACCCAGCCAGGATAGCATCAGGAGAGAATCACAAAGGTGTTGTGCCTGAGCCCCAAGTCATATGTATGAAAACAATCTACAAACTGAAACAAGCTCCAGAGACAAGTAAACAGAGGACTTGTTTCCTGAATTGCTCTCTTTCTCTGAGAAGTCTGTATTCTTTCCTCATGTATAGTGCACTCCCCTCACAGCTGTGGGAGGGTGGGAGGCACAGAATTCCAGGAAAAAGGGTAAAAAGTGCAGCCGTGGGGCACAGGGGACATGGATGGCAGTGAACTGGGCACCTCTCAGGGGGAGACGGGAGGGAGAGAAGGAGGAACAGGTGACACCAGAAGAAAGAAATGTGCTCACCGCCTGACTCCTGTGAAGTTAAGCTGCGCAGATCACCGCTAAAATAACACTGAAGTAAATCAACAATCGGGCTGGTGGGGTGATTTATGTGGTCGAACTCAGGCACCAAGAGGCCCCAAATTAAACCCCTGTCAGGGTCACCAAAAAGAAAGCTTTGTGTGCAGGCAGGAGTGATGGCTCACTCTTGTAATCCCAGTTCCTGAGGTTGGGGCAGGAGGACTGCAAATCGAGTGCAGCCTGGGCTCCCTAGGAAGCACCTGTCTCCAAGAGAGAAAAATGCAAACCCTTTCCTCTCTGCTGTTCCCTGTCTCCAGCACCCAGAGTCTTCCCTCAGATCAGGCAGAAGGTAACTGGTACGTATCCTCTCCTTGCTAAGCAGCCTGAGTAGAGGTGAGCGCCCAGCCCTGTGCACTCTGCTTCTGCTGAGAGGAGGAGAACAGTCACAGCCTTCAGTCCACCCTGCTGGGCCGCTCTGTCCCGAACCAGCACCCAGCTTGGTCTGGCCAGGCTCTGATTTGGGATGCCCAAGACCAACTGTGACAGGCAGGCAGAGAGCAGAGCTTAAGCCAGAGGTCTGTCTTGCCCAGGAGACGAGCCAAATCCCTGTGCACTGCAGTGGAGGAGGAGGGTGGAAGGAGTGGAGGAGTAGGGTGGAAGAGGGGAGGGAGGAGGATGGTAAGGGAGAGGAAAGAGGGGAAAAATGTAGGAGGGGTGGGAAAGCAGGGGAGGGGGAAGCAGGAGAGGGAGGATGAGGGGAAGTGGGGGGGGGAATCTCTTCTCTGACCTCTGTGGAGGAGGGAGGAGGCTGGAGGAGAGGAGCTTCCACAGGCAGACCTCTGCCCTGTCTGGCCTCCTGTCTGGGTTCAGGGGACAGGGATGAGGGAGGGCGGCCTCTAGGGTGGACTGGCGCAGGGCATCATGGGGTATGATGGGCAGGCAGCTCTGCTGTCCCAGAGGTACTGGCGTGCAGCTGGGGACCCCCAGGCAGCTCTGTGGCTGGGCCCAGTCTCACGAAAGACAGATCTGCTGTCCTCCACATGGCTTTCCTGAGCTGGGAACTCAGGCCTTGCCCTGCCAGGCAGGTGCTTTCCCATGTCAGCCTTTCCCCGGCCCAGCACACAGTGTTGCAGGCCGGTTGGTGAGGGTAGCATGGCAGAGCAGGGTCCAGGGCCTGCACAGTGGGAAAAGACGCAGTGGAGAAAGAAGGCAATCCTGACAGGAACCCAAGGGGCTAGGACCTTTTTATTGTTGTGATTCAGTGCAGAAGTTCCATGGTCAGTGACACCTCCTTCCTCCCCCATCCCTGTCCCCCACACCCTCCCCCTTGGCCCGGTTTCCACTGTCCCACACTGCTCATTATCCAGGTGGATCACATTGAGCATAAGGACTACATTTTCCCTCTCTCCGTCCCTCCCTTCCTTTCCCTTCCCCAGGCCCCTCTTCCCCCCTCACATGTCCTCTGTCCTGGCCTTCACGTGGCCGCCAGTGCGTGCTTGTCCCTGGGCGTGGTGGGCGGTGATCTGCACTCGGGGTCTGGGGCAGGAGGCTGGAGTGGGTCATGGCAGAAAGACAAAGCTGTTGAGCTGTGGGTGGTGAAATGGCGGAGGGGGCGGTGGAGCCGGACTGTGGGGCCCTGGGAGGATGTGTCTGGCCAGCCTGCTGGACCCCACAGCTTCTCCAGATGAGAAGTCTGGAGCAGGTTCTCCATGAGCAGCCACAGGTGGGGTGAAGGAAGGTGATCTTGCACATCAACCTCCGCCCTGTGCAAAGGCACAGAGACGACAAATGGAGGCGCAGAGCGGTGGTGGCTGACCTCACATTTCTGGAATCCACACAGCACAGACACAGAGAAGACACAAGCCGCAGAGGAACAGGGCCGGCCTCTGCCGAGACCTGGTTGGGTCAGAGGCAGTGGCTGATGGGCTTGAGCTAAGCAAAGGGAAGGAGTTTTCTGAGGCTGCTGTGTTTTTAGACACTGGAGCTTGAGGCTGGGCAGGGTCAGGACCGGCCTAAGGTCTTGCGCACGGCACCGTGCACCTCCTTGTTGCGCAGACAGTAGATGATGGGGTTGCACATGGGCGTGGCCACCGTGTAGATCACTGACAGCACCTTGCTCAGGTCCATGGACTTGATGCGGCTGGGCCGGGCATAGATGAAGAGGGCGACCGAGTAGAAGATGCCCACCACCACCAGGTGCGAGGCACAGGTGGAGAAGGCCTTGCGCCGGGCAGCGGCTGACGGCATGCGCAGTACCGCCCTGCCAATGGCCATGTAGGAGGCCAAGGCCACCAGGAGAGTTCCACAGAAGATGACAATGGCAGAGATGAAGTCCACCAGCTCTGTGAGTGCCACGTGGGTGCAGGACAGGTTGAGCAGCGGGGAGACGTCACAGAAGAAGTGGTTGATGATGTTGGGGCCACAATAGGACAAGCTGGCAATGCAGGTGGTCTTTGCCACGGAGACTACCAGTCCCCCCATCCAGGAGGCCATGGCCAAGGCCATGCAGACCTGGGGCCGCATGAGCAGGGGGTAGTGCAGGGGCCGGCAGATGGCCACATAGCGGTCGTAGGCCATGGATGCCAGGAGCAAGCATTCGGTGCCAATGAGGAGGATGAAGAAGTAGAGCTGGGTCATGCAGGTGGTGAAGGGGATACGGTAGGGCCCAGCCCACAGCCCCAGCAGCAGTGTGGGCATGGTGACAGACACGTAGCTCATCTCCAGGCAGCTGAGGTTGGCCAGGAAGAAGTACATGGGCTTGCGGAGCTCGCTGTGGGTGCTGATCAGGTAGACGATGAGCGTGTTCTCCAGCAGTGTCAGCAGATAGAGGGTGAGGAAGACGAAGAACAGGGCAGCTCTGATGCTCAGTCGGGTGGAGAGGCCTAAGAGGACGAAGTACTGGACCCGGGTTGAGTTGGCCAGCTCTGGGGACTTTTCCATCTGTAGGAGAAAAAGAGAATCATTGTTGTCTCTCCTGTTGGCACAGACAGGTTGAATAAGAGTAATGACTGCAAGGACCGTCACAGTTATTAGAGACATTAGAGACATGCCCTGCCGGGCATGGGCTGTTGGGGAGATGCCGCAGGGTTGGTACAGCAGCCTTTGGGTTTGGGACCCCCTTGGGGAGGGAAAGGAGCTGTTGGAGAGTTCCAGAGAGTCATTCACATCCCTTAAGCCAAGTGGAAGAACAGCATGAAATGTACCACGCTAAATCAGAAATCATATATCATATATCATATATATATATACACATATATAATTAATTGCCAAGGTGTTTTTGTTTTTGTTTTAAGCAAAGAAGTGCTTTTTCCAGGGATGCTTTTGCCTTTGGCCTTTTACACTTCACTGCCAGCTTGGAGTTTTGTCTGAACTCTGGCGGAGAGCGAGCAGCCTGGTTGGCAACCGTGTCCTACATTAGCAGATTCCTCTTTGCTGACAGCGGTGTCACCTGAGAATCTCATTCCAGGGATCCCTGCAGGCCCCCACCCCCATTGGCCTCCTCCGTCTAAATGTGTGCAGCTCCAAGCCGTCCAGTCTGGGATGACCGATGCCAGCTGGGCAGAGTTTGCTGCCCCCCCACTGTCTCCCATTGCTTGTGGGGGTCCAGACAGGAGGGGCACCCCAGGGTGCTGGCCGGGGTGTGGACAACGGTGACACCCTGGGGTGCTGGTGTTCTGCTCTCCTCCTGTTTTGCTTTTGAGCTTGTTTTGCTGGGACAGGTTTCGCAGGGAGCAGGTCTGGCATAGGCTGAGATTTCCATCTCCCTACTTCCACCCCTGAGTATCTGGGACTCCAGTCTGAGTTGCCGTCCAGGCTCTGTCCAAGTTCTTCTCCATGTCTAGAGCTTTCCCTGTGGCTGTGTCTCTCGGGTGGAGACCCGGTGTCCTGCGTGGGGTCTGGCAGGTCTCCCTCACACCCAGCCCAGGCTCCTCGTGCTGGGCCCTGGCTTGGAATGGGCTCCACACAGCCTCCCTAGAGTCAGGAACTGCATGGGTCTCCCTGAAACCCGGACAGCAGGCCGATGCCCCCCTGGGGTCCTGCCTGCTGCTGTCCTGGGGTGCTTGCTCAGCCATAGCTACCGACCAGCTGCTCACTGGGCTGGCATCCGTCTGTGTTGACACAACGGGGGGCCCATGTAGGTAGAGGGCTGGCTCCTCAGAAGTGGGGACGGTGAACCTTGAACTGATGAACACTTCATCACCTCAAGGTGATGATTCGAAAATGACTTCTGCCAAAGGGAGGGTGGTGACAGGGGCTGAGCCCCATCCATGGGGAAGGGGGAAGGGGTGGCTGAGGGGAGGGGGGGGCCCTCCATCACCACATGGAAACCCACACATGAAAGTCCACATTTTTATTCTGACTTCTTACTATAGCTTCGGCTCCAGGTAGCATCCCCAGCACCTCCACCTCCCAAGGATTGGGCCACGGCCCCTCCCAGAACCAGCACTGCTTGGAGCAGCAGCTTTGCCCTCCAGACTGACACAGCCAGAACTGCAGCTCCAGACTCGAGACCCCTGCACAGCTCACATCCCTGCAATACAGGGATCAGATCGACCTCCCCCAATCTCTCTCTCTCCCCTTTCTCCATCTCTTCTCTTCTCTCTCCTCCCTCTCTTCTCTCCTCTCTCCTCACCCTTCTCTCTCTCCTTTCCTTTCTCCTCTCTTCTCCCTCTCCTTGCCCTCATCTCTCCTCTCCTCTCCCCCTCCCCTGCCCAGTGGCCACAGCTGGTCCCTCACATACTTTCTGGGGATGGCATTTGTGCAGAGGAGGCAGAGATGCAGGGGTGGCCCTGGGGTGGGGGGCTGGGGTTGATCTGGGGGCTTGGGGGGCTGGGACTGTGTCTCAGGAAAGCTTCTTTGTCAGCCGGAGCCCCTGGCGTGGCTCCTCAATGCCAGGGTGGCTTTATCTCTGAGTCACACAGGTTGGTGGGTGACAGGACAGGATGGCTGCGTGGACGGCCTCCGTGGCTGGGGGAGTGGCACGGCCAGACGCCAGGAGCCAGACAGACAGTCGTGTGCAGGAATCCCTTCTCCTAACCCCACAAGGCTCCAAAGCTACCCTGCCTGCCTGCCTGTCTGTCTGTCTATGTCTCATCTACCTACCTATCAACTAATGCATCTCTGGACCTACTTCACTCATCTTTACCTGTTTATTGACATATATGACATACATATATCTTTATCACTATCATATAGCTGATACCTATCAATATATCAAGTATACATTGAGAGCAAGAGAAAGTGAAAGTGACAGAGAGAGACAGACAGACAGAGAAAGACAGAGAGACAGGCAGAAAGAGAGAGACAGAGAGAGGGCGAGGGCTGCTCCTCTCAAGGGTTAGAACTGTTACTGTCTCTGTAGCTTTCAGATTCCATACCTGGTGGGCTGGGGCTGTCCAGTGAAGAACTTCTTTTCTCCCTGCTGCCCCTGGCCGGTGCCCCTGTGTCCCTGTACCCCTCCTTTGCGGGGGAAGGTGGAGGGGACTGGGCGGGGGCCTTTCCTGCTGCCGCTGACCAGGTGGATTCAGCTCCCACCCGCGGAGGAGATGCAGGGGGCGGGCTGGCCTCTCACGCAGGCTCAGGGGCACTGCCTGTGTGCCTGCCCGCCCTCCTGCCCTCTGGCCCGGTCCTCTGCCCACTGAGTGGCTGGTGCACACTGTGGGAAGGAGACTGAGAGGCGAGCTTAAGGCTGAGCCCTGGACCTGGGAGAGTTCTGTCTCCCTGTGGACCCCAGGAGGGGTGGGGAGGTGGCTATGGCTCCTGGAGGGGGATGGGAGGGAGGAAGGGAGGCCCCAACAGCCTCCTCCCAGGTGAGCTTTGGCTGAACTCCAGGCTTGGAGGCCGGCACCAGCGGCCAGCGGTCACTCCTGAGTGTGGCACAGTACCTCGCCTGGTTGTGAGACATCAGGGGCATGGAGGGCAGGAGGAGAGATGTTCACAGTAGGCAGAAGCTGTTGATTGGACCAGAATAGATCTTGGGGTCAAAGCACTGGCTTAGCAATTGTGAGGACCTGGGTTCAATCCCCAGTGTGGAAGAAGAAAAAAGTAAGAAATGCTGCTACTTATATTTATAACATCCATTCCACAAATTGGCCACAGTGCCCAGCAGCTGGTGAGCTGGTGGAGGAAGTATTGGATGTGCCCACAATGGAGTATTGGTCGGTTATGAGGAGGATACGAGCCGCCATGCCACTGTAGGAGAAAGGACACGCCAAGTGAAATAAGCAAGTCAGGAAAGCAAGCGGCTCCCATAGACTCTCGTGCAGAGCACGTGGTCCCACTGCTGGCTGCACCGTGAGGGGAAGGGGTCAGAACCAGGGGAGGTGGTCCTTGGGGTCAGGCCGGCTGTAAGGTCTGCTCCTGGATGGCGAGCAGACTCCACCCTCCTTGCAGCAAAGTCTCCGCCCAGTACCTACGTTACCTAGGCAACTGGCACACCTGGAAGAGGTCACATCTGAATTTGATGTGGCCACACCTCTCAGCCAATACCCTAAACAAGGCCTAGCTCAGGCCCAGAAGCCCCTTTTTTCCCCCAGCTCTTTTCTAGCTGTCTTTCCCAGCTCTCTCTCTTTCCCAGCTCTTTCTCAGATGCTCTCTTTGCCAGCCGCGTGGAGTGCCAACCTGGCCTGGTCCCAGCAGGTCTACTGAATAAACCTACCCCTTACCTGAATACCACGTGTGTGGTGCTGTTCTTACCCGGGTCACCTCTTTTTAAAAACCTAACACCAGCCTTGCCCCACGCACCCTCCTCTGCTTCTTGTTTGCAAGGAGACGAACTCGGCCCCCACAGGCCCCCATGGCCACCAGGCTCCACCTCCTCACCACCGCCCTGGACAAATGCAGCCATCCACAATGATGTGAGAACCACAGACCCAAATCAGTCCTTCCTCTGCCCAGTAACAAATACACAGCCTTGGCCAGTGAAGGCCATGGCTCAGGCCACGGATGTACTCATGTGTTGGGTGGAGTAAGCCAGGAGCAGGACAAACGTCGCGACATCCCTCTTACACGTGGAGAATCTGAAACTGCTGGGCCTGCAGACTCAGAAGGCAGCACTGAGGAGCCCAAGGCTGGGGCAAGGGTCCCGGGAGGGGTGTGTGTGGGGGTGTGGGCTGAAGGGCAGGGCACCCAGATGGGCAGGAGGAGCAAGCTCACGCAGCAGCATGTGGCAGCTACAGTGAGTAGCTGTGTAGCATCTGCTGGAGGGGGGTGAGGAGTGTTTATGGGGCATCTGGTGTGGCCCGGCGCACGCTGCCGTGTCTGTGAGACCACGCACGCAGTGCAGCTGCAGCCCATGATGCAGAAACACAGCCCACTGTGCACCGTCTGTGGACACAGCTTGCTCCCACGCGCAAAGCAAAAGTGGATGGGGGTGCTGGCAGCTCATGCCTGTCATCCCAGCTACTCAGGAGGCTGGGATCTGAGGACTGTGATGCAAAGCCAGCCTGGGTTGCAAAGTCCATAAGACTCTTATTCCCAATTGACCACCAGAAAGCCAGAAGTGGAGCTGTGGCCTTGAGTAGAAAAGCTCAGGGTCAGTGTCCAGACTCCAAGTTCAAGCCCCTGGACCAGCATGCATACACGCATGCACACAAACTCACACTCACACACAGGATGAATGGGTGAGTAAAAGAGCAGGGGAATTTGCTGAGGTTTATCAATGGCAAAGAATGCTCCACCCCATCTCAGCTCTCTGACTCTGATTGGCCGAGGTTGAGGTCATGTGCCCAGATGCTAGTCTCTGCTCCTAACTGGCCAAGGTGGAAGTCAAGTGCTCCCTCCCTGAGCCTGGATGGAGGGCGCAGGATCGGTGGAGAGTGGATTCCAGGAGCCCCACAACCACCACCCAGGACACGTGTGTGGAGGTGAGGGAAGTGTGCTCCCGGAGCGAGGCGGGGGCTGGGAGGCGGCCTGTCTGTGGGGCAGTTTCGGGCATTCTG